CTGCTGCGCTGCCCTCGAGTACCACACAATCGACAGCCTCGGGTCGATTGGGCATCCCAGCAGCCCGTACTCGTAGGCACAGCCCAGCCGGAACTGTGAAAACTTGTAGCCAATCTCGGCCGCCTGCTGGAACAGCGTCAGGGCGTACTGCTCGTCGCGGATGATGACGTCGTTGCCCTGCGCGGATTCGTACAAAAGTCCAAGCTCGTGAAGCGCGTGCGGGTTCTCGGAATCTGCCCGCTCTGCCGCCCGCTTCAGCCATCCAACCGCCTCTCTCGGGTTCTTGGGCTGTCCTAAAAGCCCCTTGAGCAGAATCATGCCGACCTTGTACATGGCCGGCGGATCGCCCAGAGTCGCCGCGCGCTTGTACCACTGAATCGCCTTCATGGGGTCCTTGCGAGTGCCGCCGCCCTCCTCGTGGCCAATCTCGCAGCAAACAGCCGTGCGATATGCAGCTGCAGCATGGCCCAGCTTGGCCGCCGACTGGTACAGCGAAAAGGCCTCTTTGGGATCCACGTCGGGCCCAAACAAGCCCCTGCCGCCGCCATCCGCCATGACAAACATGGCATCCTGGTTCTGCTGGGCCACCAGCTTCTTGAGGATCTTGTGGGCGTCCATGAGGTATCGCTCGCGAGCCTTGGTCCTGCCTCTGGGGTCGGGGATGTTGGGTATCAGCACGTCGGATGCTTCAATGAGTCGCTTTGCCAATTTCAGTGCAGATGCCTGGTCATTGGGGTTGCCTTTGATGATCATCCTCAGGTGCTCCAGCTCGCCGGGTGTGACAGGGGGCTCTCTCTCTTTCTCCCGCACGGGTGGCGGTGGTTGTTGGGGGTATGGTTGCTGTTGCTGTTGCTGCTGCTCCTGTTGTGATTGCTGTGAGTATCGCATCTGTTGCTGCGGTTGTTGCATCGGTGCCTGCTGCTGCTGAGGACCGCCTCCGTAATTTCGAACCGGAGGCGGCTTAGCATTCGGGTTCACCGCCGAGCCTTCCATCAAGCCTGGCCGTACCGGCGTTGGATGCGCAGGTAGACCGTCTGGATTCAGGGGCGCAGCGGTACCTGGCCGGACAATGGGCGCACGGCTATTCCCGAACCCGGGATGCTGTCCGGCCGGTCCCGGAGGTGCACTCGGCCCCCGTGGGATCGGCGGCTGCGAGTATCCTCCGGGTCCGTTGTATCCTTGGTCGTGTCCCTGATCGTATCCTTGGTCGTATCCTTGGTCGTACCCATGCTGGTACGCGTGTGATTGAGGAATCGGCGGAACCTGAGGGATGTCGTTGGTCATCTCAAAGGCACCAGACCCTGACCCGCGCATCTCTACCATAGATCGAGCGTGATTCAGCTTGGGCTGGTGGTTTCCTTGCTGCGACTGCTCGGCCGGCCGCATCGATTGCTCAAACGAGTCTCGTTTGCTGTGCACGGGGATGGCGTCAAAGTCCGGCATGCTTGAACGGCTCTCTTGGCGCGCATGTGCATGTGTTTGTGCTTGTGTTTGTGAGTTGTGGCTCGATATGCTTCCTCTCGGCTCGTCGTAGTAAGAGTCGTAAACGTCGTCGATTGCGTTATTGTTGTACGCACCCCCATATCCATCGTCACCGTTCATACCGGGGCCAGAACCATAACCACCCTTGTTATACTGGTGCTGCGGTGGCCCTTGGTTATCCTGGGGATATGTTCTCTGTGGGGGAGGGCGGTTCCCCGTTGTCGTGGCCGGTCTCTGCGGCATTCCACGCCCACCAGCAGCACCGTTATTAGGCATCGTCATGCTTCGCTGAGCACCGTATTGATTGGGAGGCTGCCGACCTCCGTATCCGCCGTCTCCGTAGTCACCGTAACCTCCAGGTCCTTGTCTGGGCTGTCCTTGTCTTGAGTCTCCGTAGTTTTGAGAGCCGTTTCGAGTCGGTGGTGGTCGACCACCAGGCGGACTTCTAGGACCTTGTCCGTTCAAGTCCATCTGTGACATCTGGTCTGCGAGCTGGTAGTTGCCATCGGCATACCCCGAGCCTTGGGAGTTCGCGTGGGCGTTGTTCATCGGTGGGCGGCCGCCTGGAAGAAAACACAAGGAGACACGTTAGAGCTGGGTTCAATGTACTCGTATATACGTCTGTGAAGAAGCCGGGTGTTGCGGAACTCGTTTGCTGGTCAAGCCTGGCTTTGCGGAGCTCGGATTCGATTGTAATGGTAGGATTGGGAAAGGCTTACCTGGACCTGCAGATGGACCCGGCGGTCCACCTCCTCGAGCCATGTTCGGCCTGCCCCTATTCCCAGGACCCATGCCGCCTCTCGGAGGGTAATTTGGCCCTCGCTGCCCCTCTGGTCGCATCCCATGAGGGCCTCCTCGGCCGGCATCATGCGGAGGTCGCCCGCCTCTCGCCGGGCCGGGCCGACCTTGGCCATAGCCGGCATCTTGATGCTGGTTTCCGTATTCTGGCCCGTATCCTCCTCCTCCGCCGCCGTTGCCATAGCCGTCGTCTTGATACTCATTGGGCCCTCCGTAACCTCTCGCCATCGGAGCCTGCGCCGCTGAACCAGCATACGGCCGCTGCTGGCCTCCGTATCCACCCTCGTATGCCATTATTATTGATTACTTTTTGCTCTTCTCGGTCTTGGGGCTCGTATCGAAAAAAAAATTGGATTCGTGGTCGGCTTCTGGGACAAAGGAAAGGGACAGGAATACGTCGATGCTATATCCGGTGGACGCGGAATTCTTCCGATATACACATGCCCGGGCTTAAAGAGAAGTATAGAAACCTCAAAGAGACCTATAGTTAGGTATTGGTTGGAGCAAGGCAATATCCGTGAGACGCGCTAATCGTCTTTGTCTTCGGCGGCTTCCTTGTACGAATTGCAGTTCCTTTGCAAAATGTATGCTGACACTGATGCTGATGTCGAAACGTCCAAATGAAAGGGGATTAGAGTGAAAGAGTGCAGATCAGAGCGGCAAAATGTCTTGGTATTTCAATACAAGCCAGGATCAGATCCAGGCGTGTTCACCGGCCGGCAACCTTTGACGCCGCTGGGTGAATCAAAGTCGCACGAGTAACCCGAATGGTGCCTCTTACGGTTCGGTCAGGTTGGAGGTGCCGCTGCTTTCTTGCTTTCTTGCTGGCTGGTTGGTCGGCCTGCTATGTGAAAAAGTAGCGACGATTCACGGCAAGCCGCGTGACAAGGCAGAAGACGGTCTCTCCTCGAGGCTTCGGGCGTGTTGTCTCGAACGGGCTCTGTTATGTGTCTCTGCGTGTGCGAGGGGCTGGGTCGCAACAACAAACCAATTGACCAGCCGCCCGCGTGGCCTAGCTGTCCAGGAATGAATGAATAGGCTTGACGGATCTTTGTCTGAGGCACAGCCAGAATCAAAAACCAAAAGTCAAGAACAAAATTCAAAAAAACCAAACAAGAAAAATCCCTGCTGCCGTCGTCAGTGGTGCTGCCGCTTTGCTTCTGCTGCACCTTCCTGGCAACATGAACCCCTGCAGTGCGTGTATCGCTGCACAAACACAAGCACAAAGCACAAGCACGAGTGAAAAGGGAGCGACTGGCAAAAGGAGCGTCAACACCTTTGTTCTCTGCCTCGGTGTTGGAAGCGGATTCGAAAAAAGACAGCGCGGGTGAGAAACAAGAACGTGGTTTGGGAGGGACCCTGAGCGGAGTTGGCTGTCACACCGGCAAAATAATCCCGGCCACAGGCACCAAGACGGAGAGTGTTTGACTACCAGCAGTTAGTGGTGTTAATGCCTGGTCCTTACAGCAAAGGTCGTACTCGTAGAGCAATCGTTATTACCTGTTATTGCAGCAGAACCATTAAATCATCTCTTCCTTGTCCTTGTCCGGGGTGCTCTGCAGGCCAAGAACGCAAAACGTCTGTATTAATACGGCGGCTGTTCAATAATGGCAATTGATATCACGGGCTCTGGACCCTGGCTTATTATTAGGTCTGGAGGCGTCGCCTGACAGGCCGACGCTGACCGGGGTCTGGCAGCAGCCATTGATCTGGTGGCTGAGGTGAGGCCTCTCGTAATTCTTCACAGTTTCCATTTACCATAGCGTCACCTTGGCTCTATCATGGCTTGTGACTGGCCGCTGCTCGTGTCTCGCATTCCAGCCGTCCTAGCCAAAAGATCGAGAGGCTGGCTTCACCTCTGGAGTTCGTTATTTTCACTCTGCGTGGCGTCTTGTCTGTCTGTCTGGCACCGTGGTGTCTTACAGGGACCCGCTGCAGCTTTAAAACGCCTCAATGCTCTGGCCCTTTGCATTATTAGCTACTAGCTGTTTTTTGCTAAATTCGACACGGGACTCCGCAATCCGAGGACAGTTTGCAAATCCTTCTCCCCTTTGCGATCCCCATCTATTACTCGTATTACATGCTAGACTACAGAGGGCATCAGAGCATGCACTTACTTACACTAGTGCTGTGCCAAAGGGTTCTCCGTAAAAACCGTTTTCCTATCCGTATGCACAATGCCGATCCCCCTCGCTCTCTTTCTTTCAAGCGGCTGAAGCTTGATTTATTTTTACATTTCCCAGCTATTAGTAGTAGTCGTAGCAGCTACCAAGTGAGCACGCAGACGGGCTGTTCGGGCTTAAGAGAGGGGGTAGCACACCTCGAAGCTCTAGCCCCTGCAGTTCCTGGATCACAAGAGTTTGTAACGGTAGCACCCAGCTTCTGCTGTAAGACAACCATAGGTCAGTCCGTTGATTTCGGTAGTCAGATGGTATCAAGGACAAGATGGGAGCCTAGGCTTGTTTACATACAGAGACAGCAGTCTGAACATCACTTCCATCATGGGATCCACAATCATGCTACCTGCTACCTCGTTGAAACACGATGCTTCGTCGGATTGATTTACCCAAGTTTCACCTTGTTTTCTATTATTTCCTGCCGTCGTTTTCACTTATCTCTCGTCCTCGTGACTCTCGCTACACAATTTGAATCGATAACAAACATCTGCCTACTCCACTGCCCCAATATGAGGCGATTAGCTCTCTGACGATCCACATTCAGCGGTCTTAGCTCAGCTGGGAGAGCGTCAGACTGAAGTCCCAACTTCAATCATCCAAATTATCTGAAGGTCGTGTGTTCAAGCCACACAGATCGCAGTTTCTTTTTTTGTATTATCTGGCTCTTCTATTTTTGATGGATCCAGCCGATGGGGAAGAGGGATTGGCCTAATTTGTCGGCGTTGGAAATATGAGTACGAGTACGTCATTCTATGTCACCCGAGTGAGATGGCAATGGCTTTGGTGTAGCGGTTCGTTCGACTAGCATCTCTCCTCCTCGTGTATTATTGGGACTTCTTTGATTGCCGTTGGCCGTGGTCCTTTTTTTTTTCAATATACTATTATTATTCTAGTTACTGATTTCTCAGATTTTCTTTTTCCTTTCTCCTTCCACTCCTAGGCGTATGCATCCAATATAATAATTTGTGAAGTTTTATTGCAGTGGAGCCTTGATAATCTATGAATCCCGACGTGAAATATACAACATACACGACAGATGTCTAGGCATAAAATGCCGACATTTCTTTCAATCACCTGAAATTTATGGATGGAAGTTTGAAAACGGCCTTGCGAGTGAGGGCAAATTCCTGCTGAAATCCAAGCGTTACTGTTTCCCGAATTCTCTTCTCGCACTCAATTGTAGGGTAGCAGATATTCTGCGTGATTTCCAGTCGCCATCAAACTCTTCGCCATTCTCAACTGTTGACGGCTCAAGCGGAATTGCACCATTCCGTTGGCCGTTTATGTTTGATTTCCTACCAGCAATTATGTCAAATAATGACCTGGCCCTTGAGCTTGCTCTGCCATCGCTGAGTTGCCTTACCATAAGTCCGCAGTTTGCCAGTGCCTTGCCAATGTAATTCTGATTACATAAGTATTTATAGACTGACCGCCTTCCTATCCCGGGAGCTCTAGTATGGCAATATCAAATTCCATGACGCTTGCCTGGCTGCGTGAGAGCCTCTTTCCTCAGGCATGAGTTTCCATACCAGGAATTGGAAAAGAGTCACATATCGCAATCCTTGCCGATTTCTTCATTCTGCCCTACCTGTCCCAATCATATCAAACATACGATGCCTCCCAAGAAATCCTTCAACTGGGGGCTGTGGATCAAGGTCCTGGTGGGGTGAGTAGATTCCCGCGCTTTGGCTTGAGGGTTCCTCTTGTTGTGTAATGGTCACAAGACAAAACAAGACAAGGCAAGACGCTGATAACAATATCTTGACCAAAGTGGAACGGTCATCAGCGTTGGTGGACCGGCGCTCACATTCTGGCTGGTACCAACCGAGGAAGAGCTGAGGTCGAGGTATAACCCCGAGCTCTTAAAGAGAAGCTTGGAGGGTAGAGAGGAAAGACAACAAGAGTTCGACCAGTTTGTCACGCAGCTCAAGGAGTATTCCAAATCCGATAAACCAAGTTGGTCCATCAAACAATCCTTTTGATACTTGTTGATACCGGGCAGACCGAGACTAATGCAGTAAACTAGTTTGGGCCGTCATCAAAGAAGATGAAGAGAGGAAGAAGAAAGCAAGCCTGGAAGCCGCAAGGCTACAAAAACAGGAGGCTGCAGCCCAGAGAGACGAAATGCGGCGAGAAGCTGGGCTCGGGAAATAGGAGAGTCATTTGTGGCAAATCGAGGTTCGGGTGCAACACATCCCATCCGTGCTATGAGCAGTTCGTTGCCGTTCACATCACTGCCGTGTAAATTACAAGGAGGAGCCTGTAAGATTTGATTGGTTGTCGTCAATTTTGCCGTTGTCCGGAGTGAGCGAGCAACCGACATGCTTAATCTGAGGGGCAAGGCTGCTACATACGATAAGAGGACATGGATTCGCGGGACTCTAATCGTCAATATGAGGAAGAAAAACAAGAAAAGATATGCCGCCACACGGGAAGAGATAGGCATCTCATCGGGTTATTCCGAGCTGGGATTCGCACGTGGCGAACAAATCAATATGCCAGGACTCTAGGCCCTGGTGAATATGGGGATGGTGGCAAAATAGAACCGGTCCAGAGAACCGGATTTCACCCTCGTTACCGATTAGCATGGGTTGAAGGCGTTGAATGCAACCCTCAGCAATCAATTTCAACACTGTCTGCAGCATTGCCATCGCCTATCTCTGGAGTGGTGTCGAGAGGGTGTCATCGTTCATCACGAGCGCGTGCGATCCTCGAGTGACATGAAGAACTGAAGAGTTGAAACAACCATTCTCTCCAGCTTATCTGATCTCACGGTATCAAGAGATGATTGCGAATGATTTCTCCGCTACTTCTGTGCCATGACATTCCATCATGTTTGTATTGACAATTCATTCCCGAGAGGAATTGCTCAAGGCATGGGCAAGGATCTTGATGCGAGAATCCATGTGGCAATGGACGATGGCTCAAGCGAAACTGAGATACAATTAAAACAACCACCGCGATAAGGACAACCGCAGATCTGGATTTCGGATGAACCACTTCCCATCCCACACTCACTCACCTGTGGCCACACGTCTGATTGTGCCGCGGCAAGGAAGCGGGCAGGCCGATTATCCGTGGCCGAGTTTGCGCCAGCGTTCATTCTTGGCATCAGCAAAAGTCCATTCGTTTTGGGCCACCGGCTTCTCAGCTATCTCTGGGAGTCTGTCATGGTACCACTTCTTCATTGGCCCTGTCGATTAGCCACATTCTCCGAAAAGCATGCACGATTGTGGGAAGGATGCATAGCTACTCGTACGAGTATACCAACATTGGTCAATCCAGCGAGCTTCTCTGTGATCGGTTTCTCTTGCCTCGGTGTATATGACCACAATTATACGAGGAGATTCTCGGCTGACCGTGCCGGTCGGTTGATTCAAAGCAAAAGAGAACAGCTGTATGCCGTATTGAAGTCTCGCATTGCTTCGTATCAGTACAGCGATGGGTCCTCTCTCCACCTCTGAGTTGCTGGTAGAGGTAATCAGTCAAACTACAGCGCCCTGCGCGCCCTGCCCATGTCCAAAAATGCTGCCACAAGCTCAGGTATGGCCAGTGATGCATACTGCTTGTGACTTTTTTTTCCAGCTCTCCTACACCTTTCGCGTCATTTTGGCCGGAGAGATCATCACGACCACAAGAAGAAAGGTGGACATGGCGGTATCAATAACACAGATAGGTACTGCTCATGCTGTATCTCGAACTCCATCAGATATCTTCTCAGAGGACCATGCATAGGTTCCAATGGTCACCTATAACCTGATGGACCAGGCTGCTTACAAAAGGGGCATATTTTGGCTACGCCCTAAAGCAAATTAGTCGACATATGCTTCAGCACGCCTCGGATTAACTAGAAGCATTTGGCAGGTATCAGCCGCCACGTCTTGGCTTACCTCTTGAGAGGGATGCCCCAGATCACTTGGCGATTTGCGTACGGAATTTGACATGGGGGCTGGGCCTCTCATGGACCAAGCTTGACATTTTCTGTATAATACTTCACTCCAGACCAGAATCAAGGCATTGGACGGTTTGAGAGAGAGCATCCAGCCACAGGGGGTTTAAACATTTCACCACCCGAAACAAGAGAATACAGAGAAGCTACAAAATATGTAATATTGGACTGGAGATAGGCCTCCACAACGCTCGACCACAAACTAGAGGCGCCAGCTAGGTCGCACAAAAGGACCTCCTGCTGCTAATAAAGCTGAGATGCTATTGTGCATACGGAGCTGCTAGCTTCACGACTATTAATGGACCTTTGGCCTGGAAAGATCCCTAGTGGGCGGCAATATACCAGCCATTTCAGGTTCCCTTTTCCTCACCTGATGGATTCGGCACCAGTCAAGAAACACAGCTTAAGGTTACTTTTGCAAGCAACAGACGATTTACGGAGTACCAGGGGCTAGCTGAGAAGGCGTCTCGTCTCTCTCTAGCCGTGTGACACAGGCCCGACTGTGTGTTTATGGTTCTCACCGTACTCCGTGCTCCGAATACTACTCTCTCACTCACTCATTGGGCATGGGTGGATGGTTGCATCGGACAATGAGGGCGGATAACAGCTTGCGGCAGAAAACAAGATCTTGGTTCTGGTTACAGCTGTGGTCTGACATAACATCACCCAAGCGGTTTCTGTCTTGTCATTCCGCAAGCCGATTTTACGGAACAACCCAAGCGAAGCTGCAGAAGTCTACCACACATACATAATACTATTTTGTCAGCTCTGCTATATTAAGCTGCACGCGATAACCCGGGACGAGGCTCGCTTCTAGCATGGGCTCCAGACATAGTACGAGTAGCGCAATCTGGCCGAGCAAAAGTGCATCTAAAAACAGTTGCCAGAGTTGGGTCCATGCCCTGGTCTAGTTCCAGCCACCCCGGCCCTAGCCTGGCCCGCCCTTGATGCAGGCCATGCGGGGGCAGCTGGATGCCGGAGGATTTGGACGAAAGCATGTTAACACGAAAGGCCACTGCCGTTGACCAGACGGAGCCAAGTGAGAAATGGCGGCTCGGTGACGCTGAGGCAGACACTGGGGCACTTTTTGCGAGACATTGCCCTTGCATCCGAAATACTACTTGGACATGCAACATGATGCGGACAGAAGGACTGTAGCAGCAGGAAGGAGGTAAACGAGTGTCATAGTATGCTTCTTCTGACAGCTGTTAACCTAAAGATCCTGCAGCAAGGATGAAGCAGGAAAGTGTTGTTGGTGTTGGTTCGCGCTCTTGGCCTTTGAGACGGAACGCGGCCTGTCGGCGGGAGGGGAAGTACGAGAGTATGTCGTCAGTCAAGATAACGGTAAAATTGATTCGACGGCTATACTATGACAACCACCAGAATATGCGGAGGTGAGGACCTTTTGGGTGACGAGAGAGGGGAGGGAGGGTGAGCATCGCCGCCCGCTCGATGCTATCAGTGACGAAAGAAGAGACTATTTGCTTTTGTATCGCGCGCCTTTTCTCAGGCCCTGGATGATAGGACGATTCCGCCGGCTCTGTGATGCGCGGTTATTGGGCTTACTTATTACCAAGCGCCGTTTGTTACAGGCCAAGCATCGGGTGAGCATGGATCGATTCTTGGCCTTCTGTTGCTATATGGATACGGACTGTCGGTGTTGGCCCTACTCATCTCTGCAGCGGTATCG